AAAAAAAAAGAAAAAAAGGAAGCAAACAATTTGCTAAATCCGACAACATCTAATCTCGAAAATACTTTTCATTTAGCAATTTATATATAGGTAAATTCATTTGCATATCACTCTTTATCCACAGTAAATTCATTTGCATATCACTCTTTATCCACAGTAAATTCATTTGCATATCACTCTTTATACATTTATCCTATTCGAGTTTTTGCAAGACATAATATTATCACAATTTTAATTTTGCATTTCGCAATTACACATATAAAACTAATGAAAGAGTGGAGGTTCAAAAACATGAAAAGTTTTCATACATAATGATAAAATATATTGGTAATATTTTACACCATTGTTAATTTCATTTTAATTTTAATTTTCAAAATGTTTCACATCACAATAAATTATTGCCCATTAATCAACCAAAATTTCATTTCTTTTCAAATTCTAAATTGTTTTTCTTTTTTTTTTTTAAATTTATTTTGGTAAATAATGAAATTATGGCAGTTATGTAATCATTCAAATACTTCTACGTTCAAACAAACATTTAAAATGGTTAGCTAGCTAAATTTGAATATAATAATTCCAGGTAACTTTATGTGAAACTAGTATGTATTAACTTATTTAAGAAAAGTTAACCATTCTGAATGCTTTTAGGGAAACTAACATGTAAATGTAAATTTGTGAAATTAACTATCTAATTAATTCATGCAAATAATTTAATTGTTAATCTAACTAATTTCAAGTAATTTTTTTTCTTTCATTGCAAAAATCCTAAACAATTGAAAAAAAAAAAAAACAAATTGACGAAAAATGGATGAAAATTTAAGATGAAGTGTGCTTATTTCGTCCTCATTTTGAATTTCATTAAATTCTCGATGCAAAAGAAAAAAAATAAATAAATAAATAAGAAATAAATAGAAGTCTACGGTAAAGAAAAAGAAATAAAAATGAAAATCATTTCGGTTCAAATTAAATCTTCAAGCATTCAAATGTTATTCGTTCAATATGTAAATTCATTTTCTCATCCTTCTTTCAGATGAACAGAAGTTTTTTTTGCGAAGAATTGATAATTTAGGAAGCATTTTGGATAATAATAATAATAATAAAAATAATAATAATGATAATAAATAATAATAATAATAATAATAAATAATAATAATAATAAATAATAATAATAATAATAATAATAATAATAATAATAATAATAATAATAATAATAATTAATAACAATAATAGATAGTAATAATAATATTACAATGAAATTGACTTTATATTGAAATTATTCGAACAATTCCAAATAATTATTTTTAGAAATTATTGATGCTCAGAATAATAATTTTAAAATATTCAAATGAAACCATTATGTCATGGACAAAAAATTTATTTGCGTATGTTATATAATAATTTCCTTATCACAAAAATTTACAATTATTTGAAATTTTCAAAGTTTAACACGCTATTTAAGGCTTGTTTTATTTTTCTTGGAAAATGTTAATATATTTTTGTGCTATTTTTTTGCACCGAAAATTATTAAATTAAATGATAATTTTGCAGGAAGCTAGAATTTTATTAAACGAAAAAAGAAAGTTGAAGGATAAAAATAAAATTTCACATTTAGAATTATTTTGTTCCTATTAATTGTCATATGACATATATTCATTCATTGGTGTAAGTAAAATAAATTTAATGCTAAGAAAATTTTATTTTATTCAAATAAATTTGAAGTAAATTTTTCAAAACATTTCCGATTAAATGTAAGACATTGGGAAGAGATAATAAAATTTAGGAAATTTTTAATATATTTTCATGCTTGGAAAAGTTATCAATTTATTTTTCTCCTGCTTATATCTATTAAAATTTGATTAATTTTTGCATATAATCACAGATTATATTGCACATCAAAGATTTCTTAACTCATTTCATCCCTCTTTTCTAATAAAACTTCAAATTTAATTTTTTTTTGAAGCAATTTTTAGAACATTTTTTTAAAAAAAAAAATCAATTTTCATGCATGATTTAATTTTTAGAAAATTCTGATTCATTTTTATCGGATAATATATTTATACTAAAATTTTCATTCATTCCATTCTGTTCAAATTGTTTTAATTTATCGATGCATAATGCATACAAAACATTTTCAATATCAATAATCTTTATAAATTTTATTTATATCTTATTAATTAATAATTAATTATGCATGAATAAATTAACATTTTCAAAAAGTAATTGTTGAGTTGAAAAAAAAAAAGGAAAAAATGCCGTATAAATGAAATTTCAAATTTCGAAATTATTCAAATTAATCTATTAAAATAGTCTTTAAATTTAAATTAAATTTTATATAAAATTGATTAAATTATACCATTAATTTTGTACGAATTTGTAACGTTTTCTTTTGTTTTCGTTTAATTAAAAAAAAAAAACAAAAACAAAAAATTGTTCGAAATTAATATAATAATTATGTAAATTTAGCCAATCAATAGAAATCATCATCCTGGACAATATGAATGGATTATTTCAAGTATCGTTCATACCTCATTCATTATTACATCTGAACTACTATCAACATTATTACGCCTATTTATTATTTTCTTCTTGAAATATTCAAGAGAAGATAAAAAAAAAAGAACGAAAGGAAAATTAATTTCTATCTTT